ACGCAGACAGCGGCATATGAGGTTATATATGTGATAAATTAAATATATCCATATAGTTATATACAATGTATATATACAGATGAATAAATAAATTAATACATGATATATATATGCAAATAGATTGCATAAAGATACAAGTGAATATATAATTAATATACATGTAGACATATTTAAACGAAGTATTCTTACCGACGATTCTTAAAAACATTTATGATAATAATACGGAATAAAACGAGTTTTCTTAGAATACCTATTATCTTATTGTTATTGAATTATGCATACATTTTCTGAAAATTTGGTCTGGTATAAAAATCTGTCCCAAGCGTGTTGATTTCTAAATACATGTACACACCGTGTGTTGGCTGATGCAATCTCTCGTGAAATTACAATGTCGGTTTAGGGAGAGTCAGCTTGCACTGAAAACATGTTTTTGGACTGGATTTGAGTGTCTGAATTCGGAAAAGAGGGATGTCGGATTAGAGGGAGTTTCTTATATGATATTATATAGGGACAAAATTGCATTATCCCTGTTTTAGTTATGCATGTATATTATATTTATATGCATATAAGCCAAAATGGCACTTTGTATTTTATCAAAATATGTGTATGTTCTCTATATCATTTTGTATGATTTATGAGAATATAAAAAAAATCCTGATTCCTGAAAATCCTGATTCCTGACAAATTCGGGACCAAATAAATATGTCGGTTTACAGGGAATGTCGGATTAGAGGGATGTCGGTTTAGAGGGAGTCCACTGTACGTTGTAAACTACGTTGCTAATCAGAGAAAAACGTATAGGCCCCTGTTCGCTGAAAAAATGTCAAAATAAATCTACTGTACTATTCTGTTGAGTGCAGGGGGCGGTGGGGTAGCCTAGTGGTTAAAGCGTTGGCTCGTCACGCCGAAGACCCGGGTTCGAGTCCCCACATGGGTACAATGTGTGAAGCCCATTTCTGGTGTCCCCCGCCGTGATGTTGCTGGAATATTGCTAAAAGCGGCGTAAAACCAAACTCAGTCAGTCAGTGTTGAGTGCGGCTTTTAACAACTAACAAACAAGCAAGCACAAATGAAGGTACGTTTCCCAAATATTTTAACATGAACAAATATTTTCTTAAAATCAAGAACACTTTTATCAAAACGACAAAACGTCATCATCAGAACGTGCTGAAACATATTTAGCTGAGAAGAAATGGCTTTTACGCTCAATTCACTGCGTTGGTCGTTGGGGGCGGTGGGGTAGCCTAATGGTCATAGCGTTCGCTGTTCAGGCAGAAAATCCGGGTTCAATTCCCCACATGGGTACAATGTGTGAAGCCCATTCCTGTTGTCCCCCGCCGTGATATTGCTGGAATATTGCTAAAAGTGGCGTAAAACTAACTAACTCACTCTTTTGATGTGTCTGTAACGATCGTCTCCCCAACAAATACGGCGGAGTCATGTCCGTTGTCATAAAAAAAAGAATATTTTATGATTCTTTGATAGGAAACCACGCAATTTGCAAAGGCAATTTGCAAAGGTTTGCAACGGTTCTGAATATATTGGATGTCTACAAAATATATTCGTTTACGTTTCCAATTAGAATCCTTCGGTTTCCGCATACGGGGGTTATACAAGTGCGGTCAATACTTCTCATAGTTACTAATGAACTGTTACCAGTACTCGATCCCTCGGGATTACCTTAATTAATACTTCAAGAAAATGACAATCTAATGATAGAACGTTAAACTATGGACAATGGGACAAAGGACTGTGTGAACTTCTGATCTTGTCCGCACCACAGGTCTTTTCGCCTGTAGCGAATACACCTGGCACCTGCTCGAGGAATTCACTGATTACTGCTCATACAGCGAGAAATTGCTCGAATCTGTTGATTTCGGAAGTTGATTCAATACGCCCCGAAATAGATAGAACTAAATAATGGAATTTACTGGAGAAACATATGAAGCGAGATAGTAGTGGTTAGATCATCATCATCAGCAGCAGCAGCATCGGCCTCCACTTCCTCATTACCCTCATTATCATCATCACCACCCCAACACAAATCATCGTCGACATCGTCATTGTCCTACACCTCCTAATCATCATCACCATCATCAGCGTCATCTTTATTGTCGTCAGCATCATCAGTTATACACCACCACTTCAAATCATCATCATCGGCGTCGGCGTTGGCGTCATCATAATCATCGTCGTCGTCGTAGTCATCATCATCATCATCATCATCACCATCATCTGCGTCATCATTATTGTCGTCAGCATCATCAGTTATACTAAGTACTGGTAGGAGCCATCACCTCCACCACCACTTCAAATCATCGTCGTCGTCGTCATCGTCGTCGTCGTCGTCGTCATCATCATAAACATCATCACTATGAACATTCTTACACAGCGTTAAACACGTCATACTCGCGCATGCTGAAAGCCTGTACCGTTATGACCCCCGTCAAAGGAATGTTGTGCAATCGATCATAATCAATCGTTTCATTATCTCCCCGCGGGGTATACAATCCGAGCTGTCTGAGAAGTGAACAGTCAGGTTACCGTGTGAAGTAATTCTTGCAGCATTATATCACCATCACGCCATGCCACATGGTATCCATTCCACACATTAGAGCTGTCGATAGTATGGTGATCAACCTTCAGTTGCTGGCGATCTACAGCTATTGTCCAAATAGTGTTAATATTTAATGTAACATGCTAGCCTTAATTCTAACTGTGACATTCTAATTGTTTTACTGTCCTTTGCCGACAGGTTTACATAATATACATGTATATTCGTTATGAATATCAAATTTATTCTCGTCACGATATGGCTGAAATATTGCCGTAGTGACGATGTAACTCACTCACTCACCCACTCACAATGAAAATCGTACCTTCGGCGGGACTAGCGGGCGATTTAACCACTACGCTACTCCCGTCATTCAGGTTTCACGGAGAGTGGGTGAGCGTTTAACTACATTCACCTTGAAGGGGGACACATAAAACCATGAAGGGATTCGACCCCAGTTCTGAAACCATTTTTACCCCTCAATGAAGTACCCCACTTCCCTGACAAATGAGAGACTGTGCAGCCATTGTATCAGCGCATTTCACTGCTCGGCGAGTGGACCCGTTCTTGTCGCCTTACAAGTCCGGGAAGAAATGACAAACTAGGGCGGCGGGGTAGCCTAGTGGGTAGGTAATACGTTCGCTGGTCAGGGCTGCTGAAGATCAACAGTAACCCGGATCTACAAAAAATACACGGGGAGACACGAGTGAACGATCCGTCTCAGCGTCGCAGTTGCTTGTGCAGCGTTGTGCGTTTTGGAAACCTATGTATTTGAATCGAATGGAATGTTCAATTTCCTATTTCTTCTTGAATGAGTGAGGTAGTTTAGTTTTACGCCGCACTCAGCAATATTCCAGCTATATGGCGGCGGTCTGTAAATAATCGAGTCTGGACCAGACAATCCAGTGATCAACAGCACGAGCATCGATCTACGCAATTGGGATACGATGACATGTGTCAACCAAGTCAGCGAGCCTGACCACCCGATCCCGTTAGTCGCCTCTGACGACAAGCAAGGATTACTGAAGATCAATTCTAACCCGGATCTTCACGGGTTGGGAGTGAGTAACGAGAGTTCAACGCAGCATGGAGCAGTATTCTTTTACAGGGAACTACGTTTGTCACGAACACGCTTATAAAGAACTGATATTACGAACTGTGCTTTGTTCCCGGCCACTTTAATCGAAATGAATGTTAAGAACTACGGATATAACGAACAAAAATGGTGGCCTCTTTGAGTTCGATATAACCGTAGTTGACCTTATATCATGGCGTGTCATCTTGGTGTTGGAGGAAAACTCAAGATGATGCAGGAGTTTGTCTGTTAGCACTCTAATGAATAAACAAACTATAAATCATAAACCGGATCCACTTCCTAATGCCGTGTTTAACTAGCTCCATTTATTCCCTGAGCGATTTTAAAGTGAATGAATATTGCTTTAGGCCGCATCCGGAATTTCCCAGATATTCGAGTCGAGTGGTTGCTTGAGAAGTGATACACGTAAAAAGAGGAACTGTATGGATGTCAGCTTCTGCATCAGAAGCACTTCCATATTATATACGTTCTCAAGCATGTATTCTCAGGTCTATATATTTGACATGCCTCTGCATGTATTTGTGACCGGTGACAGGATGGGACAGGATGCTGTACCTCTCCTCGAACAGCTGTACCATAAGTCATTGTGATTGAAATATAGTCTTGTGATATATCGACGGAGAATTTGCTCATAATTATGAAGAGTGTGATTTTATTCACTCCTCGGTTCGAAAGTGTGGAGGGGCTTTGGGTAGTCTAATGGGCAAGGCGTTCTCTCGTCACGCTGAAGACCCGGGTTCGATTCCCCACATGGGTACAGTGTGCGACGCTCATTTCTGGTGTCCTCTGCCGTAATATCGCTGGAGCGTTGCTAAAAGCGGCGTAAAACCCAACTCACTCACTCACTCACTCACTCGAAGGTGTGGACTAAGTCGGAACATGATCAGTTTTGACGTTCAAACTGTCCGGCAGCTACGCAACACTCTCGGCCAGGATCTTGACTTCCCATTTGTGAAACTGTATAGATGTAAAATATTGATGTATAAAGATGTAAAATACAAGACTGCACCTTTCTCACCATCTGAAACATAACGTCATATCCAAACGATTCACTCCGTGATTTTGCCAATTTGGAATGAATCATCACCATCATCATCATCAGTATTATCATTAGCATCCAGAGACTTACTTTCGGTGCAATATATTTGCATGACAATATCATCCATGCTACCAACACAGGTCTCGTAACTCAAAATAGGAACACGATCAATTATGATGTAATAAGATGATGACGTCATCCAAAACAGTATGACGTCATTATGTTCGTACATTGAAGTATAAAACTAGCCAATCAGCTGAATAGCTGAGTTTTTAGTGCCATCCTCACCCACTCTCATCCTTACATTGCAGGAATGGAGTCAGACGCTCGGAACACAATGCTATGGAAGTTCTTCTGCTGCCTTCTATGTTCTGTGGCCATTCCACTGAGGTAACTAATATCGTATTTATGTCGCAATAAACATGGGAACATCAGTTATAACAAAAAATTCAAAATCCTTTAAAACCCTAACACTTATTTGACAACGACATGGATTGATTGATTGATTGAGTTTAGTTTTACGCCGCACTAAGCAATATTCCTGCTACCTGGCGGCGGTCTGTTTATAATCAAGTCGGGACCAGACAATCCAGTGATCAACAGCATGAGCATCGATCTAAGTAATTGGGATACGATGACATCTGTCAACAAAGTCAGCGAGCCTGACCACCCGATCCCGTTAATCGCCTCTTACGACAAGCATGGGTCACTGAAGATCAATTCTAACCCGAAATGTGTAGATTCCAGCTGGCACATAAGAGACGATTTACGCCGCTTTTAGCAATATTCCAGCAATATCACGGCGGGTGGTACCAGAAATGGGCTTCTCACATTGTACCCTTACGGGGAATCGAACCCGAATATTTCCAACTGACTACTCTTTCAGTGTTAAGGGTTATTTTACTAACCTAATGGCAATAGTTAATTGACATGATTTATTTGAATCAGTCGCATACGTTTGGTTAGACTACTCTTTCAGTGGGGGCGGTGGGGTAGCGTAGTGGTTAAAGCGTTCGTTCGTCACGCCGAAGACCCGGGTTCGATTCCCCACATGGGTACAATGTGTGAAGCCCATTTCTGGTGTCCTCCGCCGTGACATTGCTGGAATATTGCTAAAAAAGCCGCGTAAAACCATACTCACTCACTTTCAGTGACAATTATCTGACTACTCTTCCGAAGGCAACCTATATGTGACATCCCTTCCTTGTGACTCTCTGTGTTTCTCATATTCTCAAACATACAGTTTTGTGAGCAGTTTTCGTCAAGAAATGGCGGTATCCTAGACATTGTTACAATAAAGTCAGCGGATATTAAGATACATGTATTTTCAAGTGACAGCATAGTGTGTATGCATATTGACATGATGGAGCCTTAACGTTTTACATATGTATGCATAAATATATTCACGAGAACATTGTTGCTGTTTTTTCAGCGTATGCACAGCAACTGTAGCAGATGACGTAAAGGACGAAGGAATAGATGCTTTTGAAGAACCAAAGGATTTACAAAAACGTAGCACCGAGGACGACTTCGCTAAAAGGCCCTTTGATGAACTGGCAAGTGGACTCATTGGAAAACGTGCTTATACTCCGTACAGATTGTTTCGGTATCACACATTCAAACGCCCATTTGATCCTCTTGCAAGTGGCCTTATAGGAAAACGCTTTGATCCTCTTGCAAGTGGTTTGATCGGGAAACGACCATTCGACCGACTTGCAAGTGGACTAATTGGAAAGAGAGCCCCTTTCGACCCCCTTGCGAATGGCTTGATTGGAAAACGACCCTTCGACCGACTTGCAAGTGGGCTTATTGGAAAGAGAGCTCCCTTCGACCCCCTTGCCAATGGGCTAATCGAGAAACGACCCTTCGACCCACTCGCAAGTGGTCTTATTGGAAAGAGATCACCTTTTGATCCCCTTGCCAGTGGTCTTATTGGGAAACGACCCTTTGATCGTCTTGCTAGTGGACTGATTGGAAAACGACCCTTTGATCGTCTTGCTAGTGGACTGATTGGAAAACGACCCTTTGATCGACTTGCAAGTGGGCTAATCGGAAAAAGATCGTTCGATCCCCTTGCAGCCGGATTGATTGGAAAGAGACGCCCAATGGACCCACTTGCTAGTGGACTGATTGGAAAACGACCCTTTGATCCGTTGGCCTCGGGACTAATCGGAAAGAGGTACTTTGACCCACTTGCGAGCGGATTGATAGGCAAAAGGACCTCAGATGATTTCGAGAAAAGACCATTTGATCCGTTAGCAAGTGGCTTGATTGGAAAGAGAGACGCAGAATGATCATTCAGACAAGTTCTAAAAACAGGTTGTGAAAAGTTAGGACTCACAGAGTAAAAGCTATATTTTGGACTGATTTTGACTTTTGTGCCATTGTGAAATCGCTCATACATGTTGACAGTTGCAGTATCATACCGCACAGACACATTATACATATGATGTTATTGTTATTATTATTATTACTATTATTTTATTAGTATTATTCCGATGCGAGGGGTCAACATTTGGCATTTTGTTAACGTAAATCAGAACCTGATATTTATATATGTAAAGCCGGTAATAAATAATAGGGTATTTTATTTGGGTTTTTTTCTAACCTGTTACTCTTCCGTGAAACGGACAACTAAACAGGAAATGTTAATTACGTGGGATTTCCTTAAAGTCATACTGCAAGCTTGTCTTAAACAGCACAGTTGATGCACCGTTGGATTTAATGCGCGCCTTTAGCTTTGTAACCTGAAAGATCATGCTGATGGGTTCACATGTTGAACAAATATGTGATTATTCGTGTTATTAAAATATATCAATTCTATGACGTTGTTGTCGTATGCTCATGGATATTTGTTTATCTTTGATGACCCGTTTTCAGAATGGAATACTCACCTTACCAGGGAGAAACGAAGGCACAATCCCAAAAATGTCGATGGTGAGTTGGGGTTATTTCCGCTTTTAAGGTTCCAGCATTATGACGGCACGGCACGAGCTACTTCCTCACACTTCCAACCCGTATTGGAATCGAACCTAGGCTTCCATGGAGGCAAACTAACGCTTTAACCGCTAAGCTAACGGCCCTTTTAATCTAAAGCGAATGAGAGAGTGAGTGACTGAGTTTGGTTTTACGCCGCTTTTAGCAATATTCCAGCAATATCACCGCGGGGGACCCCAGAAATGGCTTCACACATTGTGCCCATGTGGGGAATCGAACCCTGGTCTTCGGCGTGACGAGCGAACGCCTTAACCAGAAGGCTACCCGACCGCCTCTTTAATCTAAAGAACAAACTTTAAGTAAAATCGACACTCATTCTATGAGCAGCATAAGTGCATACCTCCGATTGGGCTGACAGGGATCAACAGTTGATAGTTCCTCCACGACAAATGCTTCTGACTCAGTCGGAATTATACAATGCACATGACAATGGATATTTTCCAGGATAATTGTTAAAGGAGCCACGTCACCCGCCATTGTACCCGTTAACTGTGTGTTGTACGAGCAACTGAACACCACTAAACAACGAATGAGTGTACTTACTCACCGCTTTCAGCAATAGTCCAGCAATATCACGGCGGGGGACACAAGAAATGGGCTTCACACTTTGTACCCATGTGGGGCATCGAACCCGGGCCTTCGGCGTGACGACCGAACGCTTAACCACTAGGCTACAGGCCCCACCCCCCATTTCTGGTGTCCCCTGCTGCGATATTGCTGGAATATTGCTAAAAGCGGCGTTAAACTAAACTCATTTACTCACCATGGTGCAGAAACACTCGAAAAACGTTGTACTGACGGATACTATTTCAGAACCAAGTAACGTTTTATTTTGATGTCATGACGCGCCCCTTGAATCGAATCCGGGTTTTCCACACGACGGACGTTTATTCCGGATCCCTCTTCTGCAGGACACGAAAGCGCTACGCCTTGTGGGTCCGTGGAAAACTGTGAACTAGAGCTGTCACTGACCTCCACGCGTTGTACGTACAGAGCGGGACAACGTACGTAAAGCATCCGAGTGCGTGGGTGTGTAAGTGCGTACGCTTACAACTCTCGCTCCTTTATTGCCTAGGTGACACCCGCGAGCACTTGCACTTGTGTCACTTGCTGTCAAATTTACAATCACATATTACAAAATTACAGTATTATACCATAGAAATGATAATAATATATGGACGAACAACTTCTTTATTACATCGAGAGCGAAGTTTCGGTGTAGGTTCTAACACCGTTATCAAGCAAGTATACTCAGCAGCAAAAAAAACCCGTCAGTACGAATTCAAAATTAGATAGACACTGTAATCAAATCATTACAGAAATGGACATAATAAGCGGATCAAAAACATTTTTGTGTACAATATCTTGACACATCAATGAATAACTCAGCCGAATTTCCAGACATTACGTGAACGTTTGCAGTCCATTCAGACTCTACACTTTGGTATCTAGTGTGACCACCACGAACGGCAATAACTGCAGCACAGCGTCTATGCATGAGGTGCACCAATCGATTGATGAAAGCCCTTGGCACCTGGAACCATACTCTGAGAAAGGCCTGGCGCAATAAATCGGCTGTGTTCGGCCTTGGTATGACATTATTCTCTGAATTTAATCCCAAAGATGTTTTATTGTGTTTAAATCATGACTAAGGGCTGGCCCCTGCATAATCTTGACACCGTTCTGCTGTAGGAAGTCCCGTGTAGCTCTGGCAGTATGGGCCCGGGTGTTATCATGCTGGAAAATGTTGTTCCGGTGACGTGCAAAATGTGGTATGACTTGTGGTCTGAGAGCTTGTTCGATGTAGCGCACCGCTGTGATGCCGCCTCCTCTCCCTGGACCAAGGTTCTGGAACACCACAGGACCCACTCTCTGGTTCAGGCCTATTCCACCCCATACCATGATGCTTGCACCTCCCCATGAGTCTCTTTCCATAACACATTGGTCTGAGTAACGCTGGCCACGTCGTCGTCATATTCTTGTTCTGCCATCTGCAGTTGATACGCAGTACCGACTCTCATCTGTGAACAGAACACCTGTCCATTGCCTGTATCGCCAGTTTTGGTGTTGTAGGGCAAACTGTAGACATTCACGCCGGTGACGAGGGATGAGGATAGGTCCACGGTAAGGTCTACGGCAATTGAGGTTCCCGCTGTTAAGACGTCAGCGTACTGTGTCAGTACTGACTGGTTTTCTGTGTATTCCCACTGTCTGGCGTGCTGTTTCGGATGCCTGCACGAAGGGATTCTGTACATGCTGCCGCACAACATGGCGGTCTTGTCGTCTTCAGGTCACCCTTTGTCTGCCTGTACGGGGGCGATCATTTGTGGTGTTGGTGGCCCGGAAACGCTGCTGCAGCCTGTAGATGGTCCAAACGTTGACCTGGAAGTGATTGGCAACGGCTTGTGCAGTGTGGCCAGCTACGAGTCTCCCTAGCGCCTGGTTCCTCTGAGCTGTCGTGAGTCGCGGCATCCTGCTGACGTTGTAATGTGAATGTTTCAACCAGCTTTGGGGGTGCATTTTATAGGGCTGGTCCTTGTGAACAGCACGTGCAGCATGAGTTGGAAAACACCGTACCATCTTCGAGATCAGGTTGCGTTTTTTAGACCATTTCCTGGGTTTCATTCTGAGTTTGGGAAGGAATGTCTTTGCTCAGGTAAAGTTGGAGATGTTGTCAAAAATATACAATCAAAACATTAAATGAGTTTACAGATATCCGTTTCTGTAAAGGAAAATTCCAAACTGACTTTTCTTTTGCTGCTTAGTATATATTAGACTGCGGTTTGCCGTACACCTGGTGCAAATTGATTGTCACTAGTCCACATTAACACTCTGCGCATTATATGCGTCATGTTGCGTTTATTCCGGAGTCAGCATTGCCACCTACGAGAAAAAAAACTGTAAGAGTTTTGATATTTTTAAAATAAAAAAAAGAATAATGTACGTAAAGATTTCCATCCGTATTTTTTAATTTGTTTGCTTCTCATCTCGTCAACAGAGCTGGCGAATAAAGAATCTAAATAAATGAAGTCAAAGTTTTACACTAATTGTGTAACCTATTTCTATAACTTGGATTTAGATATTTTTCAGACACTAAATTTATTTATAATGTAGATCGAGTCGTTGGGTTTCAGGACCCGTGAAGGTCCGGGCTAAAATGAACCTTCAGTAACCCATGCCTATCGTAAAAGGCGACTAACGGGATCGGGTGGTCAGGCTCCACCTTCCCAATTGCGCAGGTCGATGCTCATGCTGTTGATCACTGGATTGTCTGGTCCAGACTCGATTATTTACTTACCGCTGCCATATAGCTGGAATATTGCTGAGTGCGGCGTAAAAATAAACTCACTCACTCACGTTGGGTTTCACAAACATGTTTTTAAGATCAAGCTGGTCCGGGAATGAACATATCTTTCTCACATCAGAGCATTTGTGCTGTAATCTTTTTCTTATTTCTTTCAAAAGTTACCAAATTTGAATTACATTACTAAAATTAACAATGCACCTCAAATATAGAAGCACTTACAGAAGCGTTTCCTTAAAACGCTTATAGCCTTTGCTCAATACATGTATAGAACGCCATTGTAGTGCATTTGGATCATATGCATTGAATGCGACGATGTCACGGTGGGAGAGGAACAATGAATTCGAAGAACGAAGAACTATTCCAGCCCAGTGAGCGAAATAGTCACTGGCCCGCTAGCCCGTGGCTAGTAAATGTAAAATCGGGCCAGTAATTCTCCACAGTCAGTGGCCAGACTGGCTAGTGAAGTTTCATGAGGTCATTTTGTAAATACATCACTCTCTACGACTCGTTAAGTTATAATACACAGGCAAGATTATGGCCTGATAAAAATGTTCATCATATTAGCAGCTTGATGATGAAGCCCGTGTCATGCCGACAATATCTTATCCTCGTCTATTTCGCACACTGTGACGAGATCAAGTCTGAACCAATGCAAGTGCAAAGTCCAAATGAATTCCATTTCAAAAGAAAATATACATTCATTACACCGTTATTCAAAAACAGAAAATGTCATAGCTCCAAATTCAAACGAAAGCAATTCGTTATTAACACTACATAACTACAATGTATGATAAAGGTCAACTTCCCTCAGGTAGTTCACAATGAGATGCCCGCTCACGTGGGAAAACATATCTTTCAGATTTGTCGCATCATCGAGGTGTTTCTGTCTTCACATGACATTAATCTGATGTTCTGTGTTTATTACATACTCTTTTCATGATACAGGTTAGTTTAACGTCGATATCAAGACAGACAGACATATACTTTTATTAGCACAGACCATGTTGGCCCCTGGTCATTTACATATACATTATGAAATTAAGTACAGGAGGCTTGGCGAGGATGTACTGACAAACAGAAGGAATTATTGACGGGCTTTAAAAGCTTGAAAACAATATTTTGCTAGCATTTTCATTTCGTTCACATTTTTTGTTTGCATTAATAAAAAAGAATTTATAGTACGTCGGTCTAGTAGTGTAATAATTCTTAAAATAGATAGTTCTTAGTTCATAATATTTTGGGCATACGAGCGTGAAGTGGAACTCGTCTTCGACTTCCATTAGATTACACATTGTGCACAAACGTTCAGTGCGTGGTAGCCGGGAACTACCGTACCGTCCAGTCTCTATGTTGAATATGTGAGATAAGAGTCGCAGTTTGCATAGAGCTTTTCTGTGATTGTGATTATTTTTCTTCTGGAGGTAATCTTCAAATTTAAAAGTGGATTTATATTCTTTATATACTTAAAGCTTTGATGAGTTTTCCAAGTTGGACTGCCAAAGTGTAATGTAGTTATCTT